ACTACCCAAACCTAAGTATGCTCAGCGTGTCTGCGCTGCTTTGCCTATTTCCTCCTGCAGAAACCACAACCAAAGCCCTAACGCATGCTCTCCCCTTGAGCCTTCTGCCACCCGACTAGCCTGCTGCTTCCCCGTGAGGTCCTGCATGGGGCGGCCTGCTCCCTCTGCCTGGGAGCTGCAAGTAGCGAACTTTGTTCTCAATGGCCATCGTCTCCTGCTGTGTTGATCACATCGCACCTGAATAAAAACAAGTCCTGGGAACATTTAAAAATAGAATAAGGATCATTGAAATTTCCTTATCAAAAGCTTAAGGAAACTGAAAGATCAGAATAACATGTACATGATGGATAAAAGTTCTGAAATATATTTGCAACTAACGCTGAATCTCTAGACTAATGCATGACTACAGGTTTAACCAGTGACGTCACAGAGCAGATCAGGCAAACACCTGTAATCATCACCTTGCTTTCTTGGGTGTGCGCTGCAACCCTACACCATCACGCAGCTTTGCTATCTTCAGAGAAGTCCACAGTCTGGAAACAGTCTTTCAAAATGCACACATCAACAAGGTGGAGCCAAACAAAACGTGTCTAGCTCGTAAGTACTGTGCTTCATAATTAAGAGAATTATAATAACAGAAAGTTCTGGATTGAAACATAAGGAGATGATAATTATTACAATGGATATAAAATATGAGTCACACGCTCTAAACACAGGAATGATCCGAACATCTGCAAATTTAGACGAGGGTTCACACTACGGTTTGACATCAGTGAACACACAATAGGCTATGCTATTAATAGCCTACTGTTTCCGTATCTCAGAGTCTTAAGACCTGTCTCTGTATAGTGCCATTGATGACCTACGTTTTCTTGGCCAAGTTACTATTGAGATTATGGATCTCTAAAAGTTTCTAATTCAATTCAAACAATAGAATGATTAGGCATATGGTTGGGAGCAAAGTCAGGTTTTAGTACTTCTTATCAGCGCTCTACTGCTAACCTGAGCATCTTTTTGTTGGGGTTAAATGAGGCAACTAAGAATGGTAACATATTCAAAGAGAGAGGACAAGAAATAGGCATGTCTGTGTCAGGGAGTTTCAGTACTTGTAACAAATGCATTGTTATGCCGACCATCCTGCCTGCGCAATTATGAGCACACAGTCCAGCCTGGGGCACTCAAGGGTGTCCCAAACTAAGGATGGTTTTAAGGTGTAAAATGGGATGGTAGGCTTTGCTTGTAATGTGGCAGAGAACTGAGCCCAAATAAGACTGATGATGGCAAGACTATATGGGAGTCAGATGTAATAAAGATTTTAAAAATTCCTGTAAATGAGTTATTAAGTTACTGGCCACCAACAGACCCTAGGAAAGTTACTGCAGTACTCACTGTTTAAGATAAAGACTGCAGATAACTATTGTACGAAGTCTAACTTCTGGAAGCCCTGCTTCTTCCTATTTAGAAGAAACCTGAACATTAATAATCCCTGACTGATAGATAATTTGAAGGTCAAGAAAGCATTAGAGGTAATATTCCAGACTCTTGCTCATGAAGGGTTAAAGGAAAGTTATTAAATAAGACCAGAAGACACCCCTAGGGAGAGTAATTGGCAAGATGGAACACGTAAATTGGGGTCAACACTCTAATCTAGGATGGAAATTTTAAAAAAATGAGTCTAAGTATGGTTTATATAATTTAAAATGTCTTTCAAGCATGAATTTTGGTAAATAATATTTATATGAACTTCAGAGTAAAATGTTTCTGATTTGTTCTATGGCCCAAAGGAGTGTTACTCAGATTTATATAAAGAAATTTTATTCCAAAAAAGTGAATGGTAGCCGAATAGGCCAACCCCCCAAAAATATGCCACTTGGCATGAGGATTATTTTGAACTAAAGGCCTCTTTTTGTTCGACCTGGGATAAAAGTACTTAGGCTTTGCCACTCAGGTCTTCATTTCCTTACGAGGGCTCTTGGGTCATGTAGAACTCATATTAAGTAACTTTCTGCTGTTAACACATCTTACATCAGTTTAATTCTCAGGCCCAGCTGAAAACACTAGGAGGGTAAAGATAAAAATTTATCTCTTTACAAATGCAAATCACTTCCATGAATACATGCAGGCTAAATTATATTAGCACTACGTGGACAAACTTGTATCTTGTAAAGATTTAGCCTACACCAGCCACTCAACCCATGTGGGAAATTCTACACTTGCTAATAAGCGTATAATAACTACTAAGCCAAATACTATTTTACCTACAATGCATCATAAATGAAGACAAGAGATATCTTTTGCTACACCTTAATTTAATATGCAACTATTAAACTCTCTTGAAAATCTTACCAGAGACGTCAATATTTTAACATACTTCAGTATGTGTTGAGAAGCAGTCTCAAATCAAGTAGGAACTGAGAGACGGCAATCCCGTTACACAAAAATTGCATTAAACAGCGCCTGTAATTTAAAGCCACATACATCTGATGCAAAAAGAAAGTATTTGTAAGGCCTGCACACAAGAGTCACTATTTTTCCTAACTTGGAGAGTTTAGCTCGAACTGCTCGGCCACACCTGTGGAAAACGTTTGGACCACTCCTGCCTGCCACACTTGCCAAAGCTTTCAATACAGAGCCTGAGTACAATTTCTTTACCTTCCTTCCCGTCTCTAAAACTACAGAAAAAAATCTAGTAATAACACCACACCTTAGGTTAAATCATAGCAAGTGGCCCACTGTACCTACTATTTTGAAATTAAGGAATATTTGTATCCTTTGAGATTTAAATACGATTCAATTTTGTTACTGCATAAGGCAAGTATGCTTACTTAGCCACAGGGGAAGTTTTTGGAGTGGTCTCTAGTTTGCCGTCATTACATCATTACGACTTAATCCCTGTGGTATGAACTAGACTTGCTAGTAGCTCAAATACCCAAGCCAGACACAGTTAACGATGTAGCTCTTTAAACCTTAATGCCAAGTTATTTTCGTCTCTCAGTTTCCCTATATATTAAGACTCCATCTCTGAAAACCTTATTTATAAGGTAACTGTAATAATCTCCAATCACCTCATAGGTTTACCTCTAATCTTGTTCATGGTTGGGGTGTATGGGCTGAACAGCATCTAATGCCCAGGAATGCCTTGGGGAAATCTTACAGTTCTGCTTTCCTTGCTGGCAAAGCTCGTTTTTATTTCTTATTTATTTCATTAAGGCAGGATTTTATTTTAATAAGGATATTCCATCTGGATATGTACCAGAGTCTGATAAAGGCCATGCCCCCTTCCCAGTTCTATATGGCTGTTCAAGGGGAATGAAAAAGAAAGAGGTGCTGCCCAGGAAGAAAACTCTTACTGATGTTTTTGCTTTCCCAAGTCTCCAAATATCAGCATTTCCCCTTTAAGCATAAAGACACAACTGTGCCAAAAAAATCTTTCATTTACCTACAGTGGGACCCAATCATTATTTAATAGCTAAATACTGCATTATTTTCCATGAAGACTCATGTAAAGCCAACGGGCCTCCTAAGGGTGGGGGGGGGGGTTAAAATCGTCTTCCTGGAAATCCACAGCTACACTGAAGATTCCTGAAGAATGAGAACCACACGCTAAGGTGACCGTTAGCATCCATGACTTTGTCATAAAGCGATACAACTGTTCATAAGTGCTCTGTGAAATAGCAGGAAGTGTTTCAAAAGAAGCCTCTGGCTTCAAAAGATGACTTTTCAAACGGACTTTTGGTTTTCTCAAAGAAAGAAAAAAAAGCTGAGCCCGAGGCTGACTATCCCTCTTTCTCTGAAGCGTTGATGTACATAAATTTATTCTCATATCCAAGGTAGAGAAGTCTGTTTTAAGTAAATGAGTATGTAGGTTATAATTCTTCAACACTTCCCCATATGTAATAAGCTTTGGGTGAGAAGAACACTACCCAGTTCGCAGACCTGTGTCTCCCCACCCTCCACTTCAGTTTATGCAAATGCAGGATGAGGGCATTCTCTCCAGCCCTGAATCTGCTCCTAGCCAAATGCTGAGCTTCTTGACACCTGTAAAAACTGAGCAAGGGCAGCTTTGGGTACCAAAATTCCAAAAGTTAACATCTTTGTTAATGCCCACATCCCACCCCATCACACCCTCAGGGTTCAAGTTTTCACAAATTAGAGCAAGGAGAATATGTACCCCCTCGAACAGGGTTATTATGCTCCAAAATGACAAAGGAAAGCAAATGCCAGGAAGACACAGGAGGGGGGTCAGGGGCGAGTGACAGGAGTGTTGGTCTGGAGAGGGAAGAAGGGGCACAGAGTTTCAAGAGCAGCTTTCCCAAATCCTCACCCGGGTGGTCTGCCCTGGGAATGAGCATGGTGTGTGTGTGTGACAAGCACTCCCTCACAAAGAAGGGTCTCAGACACCAGGGAGGTGATGAGAAACGCGCTGAAAGGGAACCTGGTTTCTATTTTGGTTATGGCACAAACTGCAAGTGTAACTTCGGGTAAGTCCTGAACTTCAGCTCTCATTTGTGAATGAGAAAACATGAATGAGAGCTGCCAACCCCCTTCCTCTACTCTACCTGGTGTATTATAAAATAGTTAACATTCATAATTAAAACTCCTGGAAAGGCCCCTCTGTTGGCAGGTGAGAGAGCGCTGGAGTACAGGGCTCCTTTCCATCCTTTAAACAGTATAAAAGGCCTTCCACATACTTAGCAGAAGTATCTATCTAACCAGCGTTATGTATTTATGCATTTATTTATTTTGCCCTGCTGTTAAATTCTTCAACTACTGCCCGTTCCATTGCCCCGATCCACTGGAATCCACTCCCTTTCCATCATCCCATGTGATTTAGTCTCTTCTAAACGTGCACAGGCGTGTTCATGCTGAGGACAGAGAAAGAAGAGAGAAGACTGAGCGGAGTCGCGACGGTTGGGGAACCGGGGGACGCCCCTTCCCGGAGGCCGTCGTCCACACTCCGCGGGGTTCTCGCGTGTCCGCGGCTCGGGCCAGTGGCTTACCCGCGATGTCCCACAGTTGCAGGCGCACCAGCGTCCTGCTGTCCCAGTTAAGGACTTTGAGTGCGAAGTCCACCCCGATGGTGGCCCGGTAGTGCTGGGAGAAGAGCTGGTGAACGTAGCGCTTGATGATGCTGGTCTTGCCCACTCCGAGTTCGCCGATGACCAGCACCTTGAAGAGGTGCTCGCGGGTCTCCGGCGCCCCGGTGGCGGCCACCCCCAGTCCCAGGTCCCCGGCCCCGCCGCCCGCCATGAGCGCCTCCAGCCCCACTCCTGCCGGCCGGCTGCTCTCCGGCGGGCTCAGCCCCGCGCCGGACCCCCGCTGGCCGTCGAAACTTCCCCGAGACCGTGCCCGCGCCCGCGCCACCGCCTGATCGGTCACAGGACCCGGAACCAGCCGTCGCTCGCAGCCCTTCGGGGGCGGGGAAAGGACTGGGGCTGGACTGGCGTGGGAGGTCCCGGCTCTGAGGCCGCCCCCCGCCCCCTCTCCCGCCCGCGCTGGAGCTGGCTGGGCCGGTCTCTCCGCGCTTTCTTCTCTGGGGCGGCGCGGATCCCGCACGCCCCCTAGTGGCCCAGGGCCGACGGGGAACCCGCCGAGGGCCCACGCGAGCCCATTAGGGTCAAGGTCAGCCTGCCAAACTGCTGAGGACCTTGAGCCAGCTCTCAAAGCCCCGAGTCCGAGCGCAGGGGCGGCACAGACCTGGGAATAAGTCCCTTCCCTGGCTCTGTCTGCGGTGAGGTTTCACACCTGAAGATCATCTCCTGAGCGAGGGAATCTATCTTTACTGCCTGTTTTTCCTTGGTTACTCTATGAACAGTTTTGTTTCTCTTTTGTAAATGCCTAGATTTCACATTCTCGTCTGTGTTATGTCAGTTTCCACTCTGCATGTTTTACATCTTCAAATATTTGTAGCTATTGCTCACTTCCCGTTGTCTCTGGTCTTGGTCTATTTCAATATCCTTTGGGTTCTTAAACTTTTAAAATTCCCCTGTTGTCATGTTACTGGAATTTTAGGAGTACATGCCAATAGACACATGTGTTCACTTTGGCATGTTTAACCAGAATTCATAGTGGTATGTCTAAAGCTTCAAATCAAATTATTTGTCAACCCTGTTTAAAAATTATCAGTGGCTCAAACAAAAGCAAAAACCCACAGTTGGAAGTGTATCCTTTGTAAGAGGGCACTTCGGGCTTCTCAAAGGCCTCGCTGTCACTCAGACAATCTCCGCTGCTGTCACTGAAATCTCCCCACCTCTTCCTGAGATGCTATGCTTTCTTTTATCTTGGGGTGTTGGCTCTCACATCCTGTTTCTCTTCCTTTGTTGAGCTCCTAATAATCTTCAGCTCTCAGCTTAAACATCGCCTTCTCTTTCCACTTCCCCCAAGTATAGGATGGATGCCCACTTTTTCCCTCTCCAATAATAGCACCGTGTGCTGTGTGAGTCACTTTGGCACTGCATTATACTGTACCTTTAGAACCCTGTGTCCTGCTCTGCATTATGAAGGCTAAGCAGGGACTTGGTCTTCTTGTCTGTAAGAACATCAACATTCAGTGTTTGTGTAGCCAGTACTCAATAAAAATGTGATAACTGAATATTGAATTAGCACTCTATTCCAAGGCCTGAGTTCACAACTGAGCTTTATCTGCTGGCCAACTTTGTGATCTTTGAATAGAAAAAAGAGCACAGGACGTAGAAGAAATGGTGAGATCTATTTCTGACTCTGCCATTTCTTTTACGATGTTAGGAGATCACAACCCTTCCAATCTCCATTTTCTCAGTTTTAAATGAAGCGAAAATATATGCTCTATTGTCTGTACAAAGTGATATAAAGATAATATTCACAAATATACAGTATATTTTATAAATGTATAAAATGTGCTAAAAATCAGTCTCACTTTAAGGAGCTGTTTCATGTCTAGTACTGTGTTCCTTGCCAAGTTCTTTGCTGGGCATGTGTATGTGTGTTTTTGGGTGCCCTTCTCGTTAATAATCAGCCTCTCATCTCTCTGTGCCTGTAGGAATGTCATATGATTAAGAAAAAAAAGCATGGAGTGCCCCTATTTTAACATAATTTTAAGTAATCATAAATGTATCAAATATTTTAAAAAGATCAAAACTTAAATTTTGCAATGTTTTCCTATAGGTTACATATTGCTATTTAACCATTATAATTCCACGTTTATTTCATATGATTTTCCACAGCTGATGTAGAACAAACAGCTTGGCAAAATATAAATGAAATTCTAGCCTGCTTGGACAATAGTCTTTATTGCTTTCTGTTTCTGTGTTGTGTAGGATAATCTAATATTCATGAGATCATAGAGCCAAATACAATGATAATCTCTTCCCACTTAAAAGGATTTTGTGTTTTATGTTGCAGAATTTGTGTGGCAGCCCCATAGTTGTCACTTTTAACTATTTCTTCATGGAGCTAGTTGGTACAATCTTCCAGAGAATGCACAGTAACCAAATTTATGTCTGATTCCTATACTAAATTGAGTATCCTCTTTGCGTCCACCAAAAATCTTTTAAAATCAACTTACCTACTTTTTAATCTGCAATATGATTTCCGTGTCTAAACTAGCCACTGCAATGTTTATTCAGTAGCCTGGGGATTTTAAAAGGAAATGGAAAAGCTTGGAGAAAGAATATTTAACAAATGCCTCTTTTCCTCTGAACCATTCAAGGACATTACTTGAAAAGCCATGAATATTCACAAAACCTAGAATCCCGTGTTTGTATAGGAATGCCGTCACGGTTGGGTAGACACTTCAATGAAACATGGTTTGGAAGGCACATTTGACATAGATGAGATCAAGTTTTTTAATTCATGATTTGACCTGTTTCGCACATGTTTTGAAACATTCAGCCGGTAAAGCATGTTGCCCCTTTGGAACAGCAACAGCTTGCTCGCTTAACGTCAACAGCACTTGGAAGTAATTTTGTGCAGACACTAGTTCAGAGTCGCTACAGATAATGTAAGTTTACCTTCTTTGAACAATGGCTATGTGGCAAATACTGTTTTCAGCCCTGTGTAGGTATCAATGCATTTAGCTGAGCAGTCCTACAATGTGGGCACTTTTATACAGGTGAGGGGATGGGTAATAGATGACACAGAGAAGAGGCCCTGGCCTCAAACCCAGGTGTCTGCTTCCGGAAGCCCTGCTCTGAGCTCTGGTGCGCTGCAAATCCAGCCCTCAGCAGTTAGTAGCTTCAAGTGGGCAAGTAGACTGTTCTCTCTTTATCACGTAGGTGTAACAGTTTGTGGATTGGATTGGAACTGTTTGAACGCAAGAGGGCAAGCTTTGCAAATTCAGTCCTGCTGAATGCTGACAGGAAACTGTCCTGGAACTCAAGTTTACCAAGGAATTTTCTTGAAATCAAAGACCATGGAGTCTCAGCAGTGGGTTGTGCAGTGTATGTGGTTATGGCCATTATAACCATAATGATCAGTCAGATTGAATATCAAGGGGTTTCAAGACTTGCTACCCATTATTTCAATATGTGTTAATGTTGAAAGATTATACATCACAAAATGCCTCAGTCAAAATTTCCAGTCTCTGACCCTTTGAAAACAAAACCATGAGACCAGAACCAGGACACTTGTCACAATGGGGCAGCGATACTCTGAAAAGCAGGATACTAAGTCAATAATTTTTTCCCTCTCTTCTGCCAATCATGCACAAAAATATTTGTGGCAGGGCTGACTGTTCTATTCCAGGAGTTGTTTAGGTTGAGTAGAAAGTACTCAATGCAACCAGAATTGTTCTCACTTTCATTAGTGTAGTGGCCAGGTAAGTTCTACGTTAAACTTTGTCAACAAGCAACCCTCAAATTGCAGTGGCTTTTTCTAGAGAAGGTTGGTCTTTTGCTTCTGTAAAATCTGATGTGGGCTTGGATGAGTCTCCAGGCAGCTGGCCGCTGTGTGATGCTCTGGAATCCACTAGACTGCTTGCATCCTGTGGTGTCGCCAGCTCAGTGGCTGCTTCTGTAGTCACCAAACCAGGCAGGGCAAGAAGGGCTGGACGGTCTTGCACCAGCCATTACATGCTTTGGGCCTGAAGCAACACACGCAATTTCGATTTAAAAGGCATTGGTTCAAGCTAGTCGTGAAAGCCCGTCTGCGTTTGCGGGTTAGGAGAGAATAAGCCTGTGTGTGCTGTGAAGAGTACACCAGAGCTTTCTCCCATCTGTAGATTACTGTCTCTAGAAGACTAAACAAAGAGTAAGCAAACACGCCACATTATGAAAGATAGGGAGTTATCCCAATAGTTAGAAGTACGTTAATATGATGGCCTCTACTTATGTATAAAGAAGTTAAAACTCAGACAATTGTCTACTGGCAAACACATTAAGGTAACTGATTTACCTGTCGTGTGTTTTCAGGTTAGAACCAGGATTTCCTAACCTTGGCACTATTGGCAGTTTGAGTGGGAAAGCTCTGTCATAGGGGGCTTTTCAGGGCATCGTGTGACGTTTAGCAGCATTCCTGGTCCCTACCCACTACCTGCCAGTAGCCAACACGTCTCCTCCACCCCAATGGGACAAGCAGATATACCTCCAGATAGCGCCAAAAGCCCTTAGAGGACAGAATCACCTTAGGATGAGAGCCGCTGGCTAGAATGATCCCCTCTATCATTTTCAACACCCAGCCTCAGCGTTAACACAGCAGCACAGATGTAACTATAGATTCCATAATATATAAAGCACTGCACATGGCTTCATCTCAATTAATAAAATAATTAGGAGAAAGGTGTTGTTATATTTAACATAGGAGTGAACAAGTTGAAAAGAGGAAATGCTTTGTCCGTGTCACAAGCCAAGTAAATGACAGGGAGCCAACCTAATCTAAGTCCTCTCGTTCCAGATTCATAAATATTCATAAGTTTCCCTGAAGACCTCCTCTGTGACAAGTACCATTCTAGTTACAGAGGATACAAAGATAGAAGATGTGGTTCCTGCTCTCAGGAGACTCCTGGACTAGCAGGCAAAGAGACAAATTAACATAAAATTACACTGGAGTGATTAAGTGCTCTTATAGGAGGGCTTCCAGCCCGCAGAGTGAGGCGCCCCACCCGCCGCATGATCAGGAAAGCAGTGGAAACACTACAGTGGAATGGAGGGAAGGACAGGAAGCACTGGGACAAAGAATGTTGATTTTCTTTCTGAGTCACCACAGGAGAAAATAAACCGACATGTAGACAACTGCAGAGCAGATCAAGAGCAACATTTTTTAATGATATTCTGAGCGGCGAGAGGGAAGAACTGTAAGAAATGCCACTGGGCCCTAAGCACGCAGGCAGGGGGCGTCTGCCCTGTGGCAAAGGCAGAAACGCCCCGCACTCCACAGGTGTTCTATCACGCTGATGCAGGCGAATCACAGGGAGCGCAAGGGAGAGGTT